TGTATTGTGTTGTATTGTATTATACTGTATTTGTTTTAATGAATACAATGTTTGATAGATCGTATCATTTTCCGTCGTTACATAAAGTCATATATTTATAATTTGAATGATAAATCTACGAGAAAAGTAGGGTACTACATGGAAAAACTACTATAAAAGGTAGGATAAAAGATGAAATATGATTATATTAAATTATAAATAAAGATAAAATGAGAATAAAGTAACGATGCGATCATACCAAATCGGTCGTTACATAGGTCTTTTCGTTGTTACCAAACGATTGATTTAAACGATACGATACAATATAATTTAAGTAACAATCAAAACAAACAAGGTGTGAGTCTCCTTTGGTATGAGTCGTCTTTGTTAAGAAGCGTTTTACTCCCCAATATGAAACTTTTCGATGTGAATTCAAATTTAATCGAACTTCAATATAAATACCGGAAAATCAAACAAGAGAAAAAATAATTGGAAAGGATAAACATAGTCATTTTGGGATTTGCTTCTCTTCTTCTTGAAAAGTAAAAAACCTTCACCAGCACGTCACTGGTAAAAATATTATTTTGGAACTTTTCATATTTCTAAATGTTCCCAAATAGAAAATTATAATAATTTTATGTTCAAATACTTTTTCAAAATAATATTTTGAAAAAGTGAAAAATATATCCATGATCAAACGGACACCTAATATTTTTAATCAATTGGTAAAAAAAATAAAATTGGCAGCAATGTGGTGTTTGACTATTATTTAAGTCGTTCATAATAAGTAAAAAACTTATAAATTATTCACTTTGAAATAATTTTATATATATGTCGTCTTTCTTTGAACTTCATGCAGTTTTCTTTTCTACTTTAGCGATATATAATTTTTCAGTCACTATATTTCGAAAGTTAAATAATAATGTTCAAATAATAGACCCTGTGAAATTTCTACAAATTCATTTTACCCCTTTATACATAATAAATTATAATCAATATCGTTGATGTATATTCATCATCGTATTACAAATATATAATTGATGTGTATAATCGATTAAACATAATTTGATCATTTTAACCTAAAAATTAACATTAATGATAATTGAGGTCCAACAATAATAGGAGGAAAATTATAAAATATTTTCAATGAGCTAGATACACTTTTATTTTTATCAATTTTCAAGCCTAACGATTCAATCATAAAAATGAACTCAATAAAAAAGGTAAAATTATCTAAAATCATATAAAGAGATCTGCACGATTTCACACGTGAGAAACTCAACACATTCATTGGGATAATATAATATGTCGATAATTTGTCTCCCATAATGATATGATCGTGACTAATTAAATATCTGTTTTACTGCTTAAATTAATTGTCAAATATTAAGTACTGTTTAGGTCTAAGAGGTGACCAACTTTCAACGTAATTAAGTGTACTTTTCTTGATCCAATTAGCACATATCTTTAATTAATTAAATATTTGTCAATGTAACTGCTAAATATCGTTTTCTTTAGCTTAAAATATCATTAAAAAGGTGTTATTCCTAATTTTTTAATTTTTTTTTTGGAATAATATGGGATTAAATTGACTAATGTAAAGCAGCCCTTGTGCCAACTTTTTAGTTTTCAAGATTCTCTTTAATAAGCCGTATAATTTTGACTAAAATATAAAAACGTATGGAATTCTAATGATGGTTAATTGATCTGGTCATCTATTATTATATATAAAAAAAAAACTGCAAAAATTACGTAGAAAAATAAACATATGCTATTAATTAGCTAATATACCTATAGTTTGAATTAATTACGATTTACAACTTAATTTTAGCTTTAATTATGTCGCTTGTCCTCTTTTATACATATACAAATACACATTATACACACACACACATATATATATATATATATATATATATACATATAAATACTTATATGACATATATACAAATACAATTAGCATCTCTCCACTCTCTGACCTTTCTCGCTCACTCTCTCCTCTCTCTCCCAGTCTCACTCGCCACTCTCCTCCCTGTCCAAATCTCTCTCGCCAGATATACAGATACATATGTATATCAATTATTTATATACAATACATATACAGTTCGTCACTCTCCACTCTTTGCCCTCTCTTGCTCGCCTCTCTTCTTCCTCTCCCAATCTTGCTGCCTCTCTCCTCCCTATAACATGTAGCTACGAATCGTAATTAGCAAACTATAGTTATGAAGCATAATTAAGTTATTTTTAAGTGGCAATATGCGAAAAGTTTCCAAAAAAAATTATGTCAAAATTCTAAGAAAATATTTAGTACTCCTTATATATACGTAAGATATCTGAAAACAAAATATAATTTTTTTAATATCTTCACTTCTATTTAAATGGTAAGGTAAAGAATTAATGATCTTATTAGATCATTTCCTCACAAAGGGATCAGTGTATATGGCAATAAGGAATTCTCACTATGGTCTCCGATAATGGTTGAAATATTACGAAAAATATTTAATCGTAAAAATTGCAAGAAAATTTAATAGCTTGAGGTGTGTTAAAATATTATTCGTAATGATATTTCATTCGGTATAAATATATCACTCAAAATTCAATAAATTCTTCTAGTAAAAGCTAATTTAAGGACATAAACTGACAAACATTCAATATGAAAAAAACTCAGCCTAATACAATTTTGGAGAAAAAAAAATATAAATCTATTCTTCCTCTTGTAAAGAAGAACACTAAAATTATATGAAGAAATCAAACCTAATAAAATTCAAAAAGTATAATTTAAATTATAGCAAAAATGAAATATCCCCTTTAAATTTAACAGGCATTTTTTGCTTGAATTTTAAATTAAATTATTCTGTATACATTGTCAAATAGTGCAGCTTAATATTTACATTAAAAAAATCATGTTATAAAATCAATTTAATAATAAGAGCTCCTAAAAGAACTTGCTTAGCTCACCTTTAATTATTTCATTTCAACAAAAATAAATAGTTAAAATTAAAAAGAAAATCCATTTGTTTTTTAGTATAAAGTTGGACATGAAATGAGCATGGTTGCCCATACGTGAATAAAAAGTCTAATCGAATTTTTTATTTTTTATTTTGGAAATTATTTATACCTAAGTGAATGGTCATAGTCTCATAGAGTATTTAAGAAAATCAATTAATAACATTAACTATAAGTCTATAACTGACATATATATATTGGACTAAATTAGAAAGAGTGAATTAGAAAAAAAAAATAATGCATGATTTATTAGGAAGAGTCAAACTACCACCAAGCTTCATATCGAGTAAAATGAGATAATGCTCAGTTATCTATTAACCTTCCATCTTAGTTCGCAATCTCCAAATATTGTAAAATCATATTTTCAATGAGTTGAAGAACATCATATCTTATTTAATCAAAATCGTAATGAGATAATATTATTATATTAAAAAAGAAGATAAAAAGTTTATTTTACCATCCAAATTCTTTCAATATTATAATCCCCTTACTACAATACAATTACTTAACAAAATTTTCTAACTATTAAAATCTTTCTAAATGCAATAATGTTTTTCTTCTTTCCATATAATATAATACAACCACCCTTATACCATGTGGAGCCAAATAAGATTCATCTTCTCTCTTTCTTTTTCTTCTTTCACTATAAGAAAATACTAAAATTAACTACTAAATTTGTCGATAATTTCTAGTTAATTTGTCGCTAAAAAACTCTTAACTAATTGAAATTTTTTATAATCTATCACTAACAATAGCGGAACTAGAAATTAGTAAATAATATGTAAATTTTCTTCTCAATTATATTAAAGACATGTAAAAAATTTCAATAACTTTTTTTCAGCAAAGGATGTACACCCCACAACTACCATTTGCCTAAAATGACTCCGCCTATGACTAAATGATATTCGCACAAACTTTTTATTGACTAATAATAAAATTTTATCTGTCGTGAATTTCTTCTTTATTTCAAATAATTGAAACAGAATATTCTTGATACTATAGTATTCAGCTCCAGTAAAAGTAAAGTCCAAAAAGTAAAATATAAAACAACACCATTTGGCCCATCCAATGTAGGCATATCTGATTTATTTAAGTCACATGGATTTTCATTTGATTGATCAATTTGAGCAGATTGATGAAAATTGTTAAAACGTGCGAGATCATCGGGATCAATTGGCTCACCTGTTATATACGAATTTCCTTGATCACGTACTTGAGTCAAATCGAAGCCATATGGAACTAGAACTGGTTGATCAGTTTGAGTGGAATTCTGATCATCATCTTGAGCACAATCCTCTAACAGTTTTCTACCATAACTCTCTTCGCAATTAGTTCCGCAAATGAGAACACTCACAATAGCAACAACCATCATAAATCTTGGACTCATATTTTCACTGAAAATGTTTTAAAAAAAAAATAAACAAAAAAAATAATAACCCTCTTTAATGAATTGCAAATATCTTAGAAAAAACGGTGAAGTGGAAGTAAATTGTAAATCAGCTTTAATTTAATAGGAAACAAAGAATGGAAATCAAAATTTAATTACATTAAAGATTAGTATATGTTAACAAAATTAACTAGCATTTAATAGTTAAAATTAAAATGAGAAACTGATCTTATGCAAGAAAATTCACATTTTGATACGAAACGTAATGCATTTGCTACTCCCTCTGTCCCAATTTATATGACTCACTTTCCTTTTTAGTCTGTTCCAAAAAGAATGACACATTTCTATTTTAAGTAACAATTTGCCTATAAAATGTCTTTTTTACCCTTAATGAAATGATTTACAACCACATAAATTTCTATCATTCATTTTGGACCACAAGTTTTAAAAGTCTTTCCATTTTTCTTAAAGTTTGTGCCAAATCAAAGTACATCATATAAAATGGGACGGAGGGAGTAGTATTTTTAAAAAAAAATCTGACAATTAATCCCTACCAAACAGCAACGGGCATCTGCCCATACTCTTACCGGGCAGGGACAAGCTCCTTTTATTACCATTTTACCTCTCTTTTTAACACTTTCCATTACTCAATTTCACTCCCCACCGTCCACCTCCGCCGTGGTGGGTGGCGCGTGATATTCACTCTCCGGGGGGTTACTTCACTTTCAATGCTAATAGAGAGGTGGTGATGGGGCAGAAATTGAGCTGTGGACAACAATCCAATGAACATGGATTGTTTATTGCAGTCCAAAATGGTGAGGTTGAAAAAGTTGAAGCTATGGTTGATGAAAATCCAAATGTGATTCGACTTACAACTGTTCGTGGGAAGTTCTCTGCACTTCATGTAGCTGCTATTAATGGCCAGATCGAGGTTGGTTTTTCATTTTCTTGAATAAAAATGTAGTCTTTTTTGCTTTATTCGTGACTCGAATCCACAGCCTTAGAATTGTTAGAATTGGAAGTAGCTTACTATCCAAGCAACCCCTTTTTTCAGACTAAAAATGTAGTCTTTTTGCTCTGTTGGTAACTCGAATGCATAACCTTATAATTGGAAAGTGAAGGGTGCTAACCATTGAGCAACCCCTCTTGTTTATTTTTTATGCTTTTATTTAAAGGTAGATCAGTGATGTGGAGGTGCTTATCATTTGAGCTAACCCCTTTTGTCAGATAAAAATGTAGTCTTTACAATCTTGGTTTTTCCTTTTTTTTTTAAAAGGTGGGGTGTTAATGGTTCTTGATCTTTGATGAGTGATGGTCACCTTAGAATAGGAGGTGAAGTGCTTATCATTCGAGCAACTCCTTTTGTTAGAAAAAAATGTAGTCTTTACAATCTTGGTTTTTCCTGTTTTTTTTAAAGGTGGGGTGGGGTGTTAATGATTCTTGATCTTTGATGAGTGATGTAACCTTAAAGTGGGAGGTGGACGTGGAGGGTGTTTATTGTTCGAGCAACCCTTTTGTCAGGAAAAAATGTAGTCTTTACAATCTTGTTTTTCCCTTGTTTTTGTTTGTAATGATTGTTGATCTTTGATGAGTGATTTTGGATAGGTTCTGTGTATGCTTTTGGATCGTGGGGTTAATCCAGACATCTTGAATCGCCACAAACAGGTATTTAGTAGTAGTTGTGAATTGTGATTCATGTGTTCCAAGTGTATTTTGCCAATTGTGTATTCAAATTCTCAACAAGTTTCACTTTGTGATGTTCATTTGATTGAAAAATTGTCAACTTTGTAGCATTTTGGAAAGATAATCATTGAAATTTGTTTTGTTTTTTTTTGCTGTTTTGATTTGTGTGATTGTGAATTGCTTCAGACTCCATTAATGTTAGCTGCTATGCATGGAAATGTGTCCTGCGTGGAGAGGCTAATTCAGCTAGGTGCTAATGTATGTGAATTTCGTTTGTGATAGTTTCTTTGACCGATTGAGATGGGTTGTTAATTGGTAATTCTTCGTATGTTTTTAGATTTTAATGTTTGATTCACTTCATGGAAGAACTTGTCTGCATTATGCTGCTTACCATGGCCACTCTGACTGCCTACAATCGATCCTTGCATCCGCTCATTCGGCTCCTGTTGCTCAATCTTGGTAAATTTCTATTCCTTTGACTCTGCTCTCCTTTGCTTTTCGTGTCAAGTGTACAACTACAATTTAGTGAGATTTATTTCTAAAGCCAGGATTTTTTTTCCTTCTTCCTTGTCAAAGTTCCCTATTTGAGCATCAGGTGCATTACGCTATTTTATTAATGAATTGCAATATGTTAATTTGAGTGCAGGGGATTTGCGAGATTCGTGAACATAAGAGATGGGAGTGGTGCAACCCCATTGCATTTAGCAGCCCGTCATGGTAGACCAGCATGTGTCCGGATTCTTCTAAGCAATGAGGCTCTTGTCTGTGCTTCTAGTGGTGGCTATGGGTATTAAAACTCTCCACGAGTTGCTTTTACTTAAATACTGTATGTTGAAGGTTAATTGACATTAAAGACTTTGCAGCCGTCCAGGAAGTACACCACTGCATTTAGCAGCTCGAGAAGGTTCTTTGGACTGTGTACGTGAGTTACTTGCTTGGGGTGCAGATCGACTTTATAGAGATTCTTCTGGGTGAGCTCATAGCTTCTTTAACCCTTTTTCGTAGCTGTCATTTTCCAAATCCTTCCAGTTCCTTTTGTGTATTATTCAGTTCTCTGCAAGTAATCCATCTTTCGATGTGAAACTGACCGGTTGTAAATGGAATGTGTCCAGGCGAATTCCATACATAGTTGCATTGAAGAACAAGCATGAAGCATGTGCTGCTCTTTTGAATCCATCATCTCCGGAGCCTTTGACATGGCCATCGTCTTTGAAGTTCATTACTGAGCTTGATGCCGAGGCAAAAGCTTTACTAGAAAATGCTCTGATCGAGGCCAACAAAGATAGAGAGAAGTTGATATTGGAGAAAACAGCTGTCTCACAAATATCACTTTCGCATTGTGATTCTGGCCTTGAGAGTGATGACTTTGAGGTAACGAGTCTCATGCCCAATAATTTTTTTTAAAAACTATTCTGCATCTGCGGCTGCAATTGTTTGTCTGGGCTTGTCAAATATTTTAATATGTTCAGCAGATTGTTCATATGAGTAGCGTTTTGCCCGGGTACTATGAAAAAGTTTTCATTAGAGAATAAATAAATGGTTGTACGTATATGGTTGTAAATTGTTGCTTATATGCAATCCTGTTGTCCTTCATGGACTCCACATCCGCACCCAACTTGTCAGCAGGTACATTTTCTGATTCTTAGTTCACAACATACTGATATTGTGAACCAAGAATCAGAAAATGAACCTGCTGATGGGATGAACGAGTTGGAAGCTGATGTGGAGTCCACCAAGGAGGCTATGGAGGGTAATATTGGAAAGGGGCAAACGAGCAAGACAAAGGCCGTCAAAAGTTGCGTGATTATGTAGTGGGAAGTTGAGTGATGTTGTTATAGGAGTTGGTTATATAAAAGGGAAGGTTAGGACAAATGTTCTTTCTTTCAGTGTTCTCCTGAAATTGTATGTCAGATTCTTCGTTGTAATTTCCCTTGAATATCAATACAAATTGTTTCTGGTGTGGTTGAGTGATACAAACAACATCAACATACATACCCAGTGTAATCCCACAAGTGGGGTTGAGTGATATTAGTAGCAATTACTACAAATCCTTCCTATAGTGATATAACTTGCCTCTGGAGAACTTACAAAGGTGGTAGGGAGATATCTTATTAGAACGTGTAGGCACTCGGAAGGGGGAGCTTTGGAGCGATGGTAAAGTCCGTGTGACCTATAGGTCACGAGTTTGAGCCATGAAATCAATCACTTATGCTTAGAGTAAGCTGCCTACATCACACCCCTTGGCAGTATGACCCTAATCACGGAGTCATAAATTTGCTTCACATTTGAATCGGTGATAGTCATTTATCTTGCATCAAGAACTCATCTGGATTAATTATAGACGAACATAATGGAGCTTAAGTACTGCATTTATATTTGACCTTTACTATGAATCTTCTTTTAACAACTCCATGTTTTTCATTTCCAAACAGGGCAGTGATCTTGAGCTATGTTGCATCTGCTTTGAGCAGGCTTGCACGATTGAGATACAAAAGTGCGGTCATCAGATGTGTGCTCATTGCACTCTGGCCTTATGCTGCCACAATAAACCCAATCCAGCTAGCAATAGTGAGAAGGTTCCTTTATGCCCCTTTTGCCGGAGTGATATCACTCATTTAGTCGTTGTCCAGAATAAAATCGACACTTATGAAGAGGTATCGAGTCCCTCAAGGCCAAGAAAATCAAGAACGTCTTTCAGTCATGCTGAAGGCGACAGCAGCAGCAGCAGCAGTAGCACCAGCTTGAAAGTTTTGTCACCCTTAGCCTCATTTGGGAAGTTGGGTTGTCGCCATTCAGGCAAAATCAGTGCTGAATGCATTGAAGCGTTTGCTAAGCCTTAAGATGAGATATATTAAATCTTGAACATCCTTCGCTCAATCATAGATTTAGACTAATGACAGTCTAAATCGAGCTAGCGAGGAGGCATGGGGGGGGGGGGGGGGGGGGGGGGGGGGGGGGGGTACTTTTAAGCTGTTCCAATAGTTGCTCAACTATACCCCTTTACAAATTAAAGGGGTATGATTATGAAGCTGCTGCCTATTGGCAGTTGATTGAAGAATTTTTGTAGTGATTCCATCTTTGAGACAAAATGTTATTGGACTTGTTGGATCTATGAAACAAATGCCTCTAGTTGTTTATGCCATCCCTTTTTGTTCAGCGGCTAAGCTTGAAATTTCACTATTTTTAGTAAGGACGACAAATAAAATCGACAAAAAAGAGTACGTACAATAATTTGACACTTTCTATAAAGATTTTGAAAACACTTTTAAACATGTTTTGAAGCGCTTTTTATGTAGATAAATTAATCACAACACTTCTTTTAATGATATACATTAGCATTAATAAATCGTAAACTTTAGGCATGTTCCAATTAAGATTGATGTATATAGTTATATGATGTGAAATTTTTTATGAGGTTTACTTATTTATGTAATAGGCCTTTGAGAACATGTACAATTTTTTTTTCATAATTTGAGCTGAAAATGTCTAATCAAGTTTTGTTTTTTATGGATTGCCCCTATCTCGGAGTGATATGTAATGTTTGCCATTAAATAGAATGTCCTTCCAATTTTCCAATTTTCCTCATGTGACTCATTCATGAAAATTTGTGGGCCAAAATACCTTTAACTATGACAAGACATATGATTAGAGAACTTTTGCCTTCTCAGGTTACTTTGTATATAGTATCTAATTCTCAAAACATAAGTTTAGAGAACTTTTGCATTGTTCGGCAATTTTTTTGGACAAATAAGTTATTTTTTGAAGACATAACTTTATCGGTTCTGAAATTGAACTTATACCTCTATTTGCATAAATTATGTAAGAATTAAGTTATGCTTTATAAGACATAACTTGTGGGTAATGAACTTGAGCATTATGCTCCCAAGCTGAACTTATGCCTTGTAAGGTATAACTTGTAGGTTATGAATTGAACTTATGTCTCTAACGATCTAAGTTTTGTAGAAATTAAGTGGCATAACTTGAGATATATTATGATATGAAAATATACTCTTGCTTTGTGATTCTTTTTCGATGTCAGGGTTATTTCCATCCACCTTTTCGTTATTTGAAGTGTTAAAGAGAGAAAATTAAAGATCATGAATTTGAATAGTAAAAATTAAAGATCACCCTTAAATAGGGGCATTTGTGCAAATGACCTGTATCTAATAAAAATAATTCGAGTGTCTAAATAAAGTTTATTGACAACGCTAAAATGTTTTGGATTTACTTGTGTTTTAAGTAATTTTTTGAATTAAGTATAGTATTGCCTTGATTAATTTGAAGTGGTCTGGAATCCAATAGGACTGAGTTTTTTCAGAATATTTTGAATTATGAGAAACTCCAAAAAAATTGTAACAAGCTTCTAAACTTTTTCATAATAGGTTGTTAAAATTTTCTTCTATTTTTACCTTTTATTGAATTTCCTAATTAATAAGGATAAAAAATAAAATAAAAATCTAATTAATGTCTTGATATTCTTTTCTTAAAAAGTATGCAATACCTCGACAATTCACTTATTTTGAAATGAAGAGAATATTAATTAAAAATATTATAAAAATCATAAACTTAAAATTCTGAATTCGCCCTGCAATGAAGCTAAAAACAAAGTGATTGTGAGAATGTAAGATGTTGAATGAAAATTGATTTACTACTATTCCAATGACAATAACAAATGCTCGAGAATCAAGATTCCAATTCCCCCCCCCCCCCCCCCCCCCCACCAATCA